CTTAATAAGTTTTTAAGGAAAAGTTTTTCTTGGCTGGAAACACACATTTATCTTTCATTTAGTTACCAAGCTTTGAGAATGTAAATGTTGAGTGCTTCATTATCACAAGTGTTAAAATTACCACATGAATACAGATGTTTGCTTTAATACTTCCTCAAGGTTCAGTAAAACAGTTGTAAGAATTTTAGAAGTACATGTAAACTTGTCAGCAGTAGTGAGGTCCAAAGAGTGAGAAATCTTCCTCAAAATGAATTCACATCAACTGCTTGCATTCCTAAATGAAATTTTGTAGAAACAGTTTTCACACCCTTAAAACACACAAGTTACCCACAAACACTAGCACTGTACCATAAAACAAGATCTTTATTGGAGAACACAGAATGAAATTAAGAAAACACATCTAAGCAGTATCTATAAATAATATATAAAATCTATATATTCTTCTATGGGAAGAGACCAAGACTTCTTGTTGAGAATATCATGCTCCAAGCGGTTCCTCAAACCAAGTGATCAGAACCCTAGGAAACCAGTGGCATGTATAGTTTTAAACACAACCTAAATAGGTTAAACATGGAAGAGATATTCAAAGGTTGTAAATGAATGCAACTACAGTGGCAGAAAGAGTCTACAGTGTAAGATTAAAAATCACAGAATCACAAAGACACAGAACATTCAAAGTTGGAAGGGACCGGTGAGGATCATTGAGTCCAATTCTTGGCCCTGAGAATCACTGCATGTGCCTGACAGCACTGTTCAGACACTTCTCCAACTCTGTCAGGCTTGGTCATAAAAGAGATTTTTATATTCATCTCATTAAAAACAAATCTCCATCCAGACAACACTCTAAATTGCAAATGCAGTGACAACTGTACATATGCAATGACAACTGTTCACCATCCCTTGCCTAACAGTAGTTTAAAAGTAGCTTGCACATTTAAGAGGATTAGACATAAAGAAAATATTTGAGGAGTCAAACGTGATGGGGTTTTTTGTGAGGCAGTAGAGCTAGAGAGGAAACTACTAGAACTGCAATCTGATGCACACAGACTGCCAGAACCTGCCAATCCTCTCATCACAATCTAAAAGTCTTTAACTGCTTCTCACAGAAACAAATTGCTTTGTGTATGAGTGACATTTCTTTATTCTTTTTTCATTAATTTTAGTACTTGCTCTTAAATCAGGGATCAGTGCTTTTGATATGCTGAAAGATTGTTCTTTGTTAGAAAAACTCTGCTTGTCCCAAGAGAAGTCACCTAGATCCTCTCAGATGCCTCTGTAGGCACAAGATTTGTATTCAGTTTCTTCCACTGATGAACCACCAGAAACTGTGATTCTAAATTATATTGACACAGTGGTGAAAACAGAACTCTACACTCACTAAGTGATAGTACTTCTGTTGTTTTTAGAAAACTATGCCCACTACTACCTTTCATTACCCATTCTCTTGTTCAAACCCTATTCTCTTCTTTAATAGCCTACATTGCTTCATGTGGTCAGCCTTCTGTCAATGCCTATGTCCCAAATGGAAGCTGGCAATCAACCTTCCAAGGCACAGATTACCAGCTCCACAGCCCTCACAATATCTTGAACTGCCTCCTGCACACACATGTCATGCTCAGAGCTTTTCTCAGAAAGAGGGCAGAACCTGGCCCTGGCAACCCTAGGCGGAACTGATAGGTAGATAAGCACCCAATTCCTTTTTTAATATAAATACAGGCTTGGGAGTTGCAAAAGTTAAATTTGAGTCATAGGTCCTACAGTGATTCATTGCACTAAGGTATATGCCACCAAATGCTTCATTTAATCATGGTGAGTAAGATTCTACATGACTGTAAGCTCCCACAATCAGTGAAACTCCCATTGCCACATTTTTTCAAATTCCCAAGACTGTTAGTATTAGACCAGAGATAGAGATTATGTTTCCATCACTTTCTGACCTCTGTCATGTGCTCATACGTTCTCTGCTATGGTGAGGGCTAAAACTTCCACCATCTCTGGTTATATTCAGATTTTCTTTCCATCACAAACTGCATGCTCAGCAGCACAAAGTCCCATGCTTTTAACACATTACTGCTTGTCACTGCAGAAATACTGGACAAAACAGCAAAATGTGTTTGCTAGTGTCCACATTTCAATTACTTGATGAGGCTCCATAGCAATACCTGATAAAGTGAATTAAGTTTTTAATTTATGTGCAACTGAAACACTACAAGCTATTATCAGGAAAAACAAATAGAATAATTTCACATTTAATTATTTTTACTTCTCACTTTTATTAAATCTTTGGTTTTATGAGTATATGGGTCTCTAATAAGAAGTTAATTATGTCTCGTTATTTTTACACACAGTTTCTATTAGAATAACATGAAAATTATGAGTCGCAATGTCTACCCTAAGTACATCAATGAGTAGGACAGGGGAAGTTTAAGGAAGAACCTTGTTTGTGAGGACATGAAGAAGAGGAATTGACCCTGACAGAAAAGAATCAAGAGTCTCCAAAAAGAACAGGTAACAATGTGAGAGAGGTGAAAATTAAGAAGGAACGGAAACAGGAAACATTTTAGCAAGAAACAAAGGAAGGAAAGCAATCAAGTGCCCAGAACAGTAATGAAAATCTCGCCCTATAACTCTGTGAGAATTGCAAAGGTTAAATAGAGGTGAAACAGAAAAATGGGCTTTAATATATCCAGTTCACTGTGAACAGGAAGACAAATTATTTTTTTCCCTTTCCCTTGCAACATCTTTTATTTCCTTCACCTGTGAAGGTCTCCTTCACTGTTCTTTAGTGTAAAGAAATAGAGTGTTGCCTGTCTTTCTGCATAAGTAATTATTGCTATTCTCTTTTGCAGTGTCTCCAAGTACCCCAATTTTTTTTCAAAAGTGACATTGCCAAAATCCCTTTCAACACAACTGCTTCGGTTTTCCCTTAAAAGACAGGATAAGCTCCTCCCCTAGAAATGAATCACACCTCTGACCTACTGAGTCTTGAAGAAAATGTGAAAGTGAGATTAGGTTCAATTTGGTACACAAACAATGGATCCATTTTGCTGAGCATTATGTGGGCAAATATGTTATTCATTTCCTTGTTGGAAAGCCCTGCCTCTTGCCTTGAAGGGGAGATGGCAGTAAAGGACAACCAAATGACATTCACAGGGAAAAGGAGGTTGAAACCTTTCTCTCCCATTTTCTCTAGACTCTCCCACAGCTTTTCTAAGAACGTTTCAATAAAAACAGAATCTCGTTGAGTGATCAGCTAAGAGCTTTCTTCACATTATATGTCTGGTATTAACATTTCATAGAACCACAGGTTTTGACTGCTTATTTACACCCTATGGTTCCTGACCACTGAAGGTTTTGACACAAGTAGACTAAAACATTAACATAACCCTGAAAATTTAATCCATATTCTGTTGTACTGAAGATTAACTGTACTACATTTTAATCACAGAAAGGAAATGCATATATAATTAGAATCTGTAAAAAACAGAGAGGCTTAAAATGATCTCATTGCTTTAAAACATGTACCATCAGAAGACTAGGTCCTACTCTAGGTACGCCCTTCAGCATCCCACGTGTGTCATCCTACAAGCAGACAGACCAGATTCTTTACAGATCATTTTTCTTAGCTATACAGTGGGAGTATATTCCCCAGCCATCCTTAAAGAGCACTTGATTTATAGAGATTACAGTAAGTACTTGGTACAATTACAATATAGAAGAATACCCATCACAGTCCTAATGAAAAAAGAGAAAGTAGAGATGTGCCAGTGTGAAGCTCATATTTCACACTTATATGTTTCTCTGTGAAACTCTTCCAACTACTTCTAAGGATGCATATGTAGCCCTTGCACATAATGCAGGCTGACATGCTAAAGCTTATACTTAAATCAATACTGCTGAGTTCCTAGAAGCCCAGAGATAGCTTTAAATGATTAGAAGAGCTGACAAGATATTAAGGCTACAAAATAAAGCATTTTTTTTACTCTTTTCAAAGTCTTCATAAATTGTAAGAAAAACTAAAAGCAGCTTTTAATAAGTGCTCCAAATCCTGTGATGTATACATTAGGAAACCCAAGAAAATTTCAGTAACTTAATTCAGATTTTGAGCTACTATTACTGTCTAGCTATTGGAGAAACATTACCTCTGATACCTGATCAGGTAGCTTATGCTTTCCATTCAGGTTGTACTAGAGGATATAGAGAATGATTCTCCATCCTTTTTTTTCTTTTATTTTTTTTTCTGAGAAAACTTTGTATCTTATCAATGGTTTCTTCCAATTATAGTTATCATGAACAGAAAAATACAGGTTATTAGCCATGAAAAATGTGTGTTTGCTATCAGTTGGATAGTTTGGATTCTGTATAGGTCCTTGAATAAAGCAATGCTACAGGACTTTTCATCAGCTCTTCACAAGATTTTGCAAATTTTAACTTGTGTGAAAAGACCCTCATCTACATAGTGCCACTGAGGCCCACCTGATTACTCCGGGTAATGCATAAGGTCTAGAAAGTATCTTCCTTTGCACAACAGCTACAAATAGTTATTGAACAAGTGATGAGCTGAGCAATTTCAGCACAAGGAAGAAAAAGAAATAGAGCAGATCCAACCCAGAAAGTAAATCATTAACACAAGCACTTTCTGTAACATTTCACTCTGTGACTAGCTGAATTCTGATTCGTAAAATCAACACAGCAGAACAGAGAGTGTCGTGCTAATGACTCTGTTTACTTACCTTATAATCACACCCATTCAATGCATGATTAATGACTAAGTACACAGTGAATCTATAAAACCCAAGGACATACAGTACCAAAAAGTGTTCGGCTTCATTGTTACCTGGGAGCCTAATGTACCTGGTACCAGTTTGATTGGATGGTTTCTCTCAATTCTCCAAAAGAGAATAAGACTTAGCTATAACAATTGAGTTCACTAAACTGTTACTTTTACCCTACGAAAGCTATTATTTTCTTTTCAACAGAACCTGACAACTTGTATCAAAATGTATTGCGGCGATTATGTGAGTATAATGATTTTTTCAAAATTTTTCATTCCCCTTCAGTTGTTGCCACATAGGTTGGGATCCATTTCTCTCCACTGGTAGAAATTGATCTCAAGAGAAGTTAATTTCTTTGTGATTTGGGTCTAATTCTGGTGTTACAGTATATATCAAGTGTCTGAAATGAAGATTAAAATATAATGAATTATCAGTTCCTGTCTCATAACTTTAGACATTTCAAAAAAACCCAATTTGAGCCTCCTTGTGAGGCTCTGTTTATGGGTCTTCTATAATTGCTCTTAGATACAACACAAGCCACAAAATTACACGCTATCACCTAACTCTAATAAAAATAGAAATGTGAATTTCTCAAAAGATACTTACTCCTGGCCCTATTTTGGGGGGTTTACAACTTCACAAAACCATCTGCATAAAGTAACTGACTAGCTTTATCATTTATAATCATTTGGGTTTATTCACAATGTGAAAAATATTTTAAAGCAAAAAAAAAGCTACCACTACAAAGGCCATAACACAGGAAAAGCAATTAATTATTGTTCCTCATTGATAAATTGTAGCAATATATTAAATGGTTTAATTAGCACTCTTTAAGAAAACAAAAGTTCATAGAGCAGTTTTAAATCTCCATTCTGGAAGCTACTAGAATTATTATTTCATGACAGCAAAATTTGAAATTGCTTTCTGCACCTGGCTTACTGATAATTATGTTTACTAAGGACTTTCTTTTAATTATTATTAATAGGCAAAATGATTCATGCTTTTTGCATGTACATTCCCAATAAACTTACAAATCAATATAGAATTTTCCAAAGGATAAACATTTTTTCATTACTTGTTTTAACTGAAAGTAAAACTGACAAATATCTCCAATCTTGTCAGTAAAGTATTTCTTCTGATAAAATTATATTGTATATATTTGCTTTTGAAAGTAATAGTTATTGAATAGAGTAACTAATGTGTTTGGTTTTCTGCAATTTGGGATCCTGAATCCTTTACTAGACCAGTTAAGATCTGAAAACAGATGTTCTTTTTTGCTTCTTTTTTCCTCTTTTAATTACAGTGATTCTGTAATCCGTTCCTGATAATTAAAGGAAGACAGGAAGAATAACTCTACCTAACAAAGGTAGTAGATCAGTTCCAGTTGAAGTCAAGAAACAGTTTCTTTTCTTCTTCCTGTCCTCCAAAAAAATGGTGCTAATACCACCTCTTAATGTCCTGTTGTTCTAAAGGCAAAAAGGCACATCAATAAGCCCTTTGTTTATTTCATAATCACAAAAGTAAGAGAGCAGAGAAGCAGCTGTAGAAAATGGGGTGCATATCAGTCTCAGGAAGGACATGAAAACCTGATTACAGGCTTTCTCTGAAAAGCATTGAGATGGATTCTCAGGTTGGGTAAATTTTTATTCTTTATACCCATTTCCATGCATTGTGAGATGGAAAGGGAGAGAAATGAACTAGATCACTGGATCCTGACAAATGAAGCAGAATTCTCTGCTGAGGCATCCAGACAGAATGGGGACATGTAGTGCAGAGCCCACATAAACATTGTCCCCTGGATGCCTTCTGGTTCTTCAAGATAAAGTCGGTCACGGAGCAGTGGCAGTTTTCTCAGAAGAGGCTCAGCAACAAAATAGCAGAAAAATCACTAGCAAATCTCAAGCAAGAAAACAGGGCTTATTCAGGACTGAGTGGTGAGGCTGCCACATTAATTTCTTGTCTACTCTTCTTAAGCACAACTTTAGATTGCAAACAAGTCTTAAAAGCACACTTTAAACTTAAAGATATTTTTCAGGGAATCCCAAAACATTGATACACCATTAATTCAGAAGCATAAGAAACATGAAAAAAAATGTACTTGGTACTTTAAGATGATCTCTTTTATATTTTATGCTACCCATATTAGTAATTACATATGTTATCTATGAACAATTGGTCAGGATGGAGTACAAACTGTTAGCAGCAGAAGTCCTGCCAGATTCAGCAATGCAGGGCATCATCATTATCAGAGACTACATACAGAAAATGATTCTCCACAGTACCATAAGCAAAACTACCAGAAATTAGACAAGACAATATCTGTGACATCTCTGAAATACATATACAGGGAAAGATGGGAGGCTTTGGAGAAAGAATTTTCTATGTTTAGAACCACTCCTTTCACTATGTCATATCACTGTATCATATATTACTCAAATTAATTGTAGCACGTACAATAAATGCACAACAGATCAAAATACTCATGAATTTTTATTTATTAAAGTTGCACACAAACGATATCTTTGCAGAAGTATAGCTAGCTCATAGCATGTAGTTAGCTAATAGAGCAGGCATTTTATTTTAGTAGACATTCCCTATGGGAAATATTCAGACTGAGGAGTCTGACTTTGATTGTTTGCTATCAGCAGAATGACTTACTGAACAAATATTATTAGAAGGTTGTTCAAACTTCAGATTGATTTTTCCATCACAAGACTGAATTGCCTGAACTTTACACATCATAATTTGATAAAAACAGCCTCAGCTTTTACTGATACTTTTGTTGAACTGCTTATAGCTTTGGCCAGGAAAAGCTGTAACTTTCTTGCTCTCACACAGAAGGAAGGTAAATTGCAAGTCTCATTTTTCAGAACTATTAGAAATTTTGCAGTCCCTTTCCAATCTCTTGTTGTTTTGATTCATTCCACTAACACCACATAAATCTGTTTTGTCTGCACAGCTGATTTTGGAATTGGTTTCTTACAGAAGAGTTTACATGTTTGAACGTGTGCAGACACAGAAAGATACGTATGAAGTGCCCACGTGGGTCACCTCTATGGAAACAGATCTGTGTTTTTGTAGATGAGGGTATCCTGACATCAGAAAAGGGATTAAAATCCTAAAAGTCAAAAATCACTGAATCATCTCTGGAGATTTGTTTATCTTTAGGTGTTTGGACACTTTGTGAGAAAAAAAAAAAAAGGCAAAGTATTGTGGAGTTTCTTCCTTCTGAACAACAGATATTCTCTTCATGAGGATGCTGCAGGATAAAGCCAGTATGAAAAACATCTCTCCATGTTCACATACACCATTTTGTCTAAACTAACCCATAGAAATTCAGGACCATTTGCAGAACACATTGAATTCAGAACCAAAATTATCAGAGTTCAGCTCTAAAGATCTGGGCCAGGACTGCTTGTGCCCATATGTCAAAAATTCAATTAAAACAGGTAGAATAAGTTTAATAAGTAGTAAACTCCTAAATGTTTTGAAATTAAGTGCATAAAGTGAACCAGTGATGCTTCTGCAGGCTGGTCCAAGACAGAAACTATGAAAGTGGTTCCAGAATAAAACTGACATATGCTGTGCTGAGATATATCTTCATAAAGGTCAGGGAGTGTAAATGCTACAAAGTAGAAAAGTACTTTTTTCAAGGTACATGACTTTGCAACAATAACTCTGTGACCTGTGCCAGCAGTAACACATTATTAGTTAGGTAGAAATTCCTTCCAGGGGTACTGTTAACATGTATGCTGAAAATCCTAGTTCTCAGTTTAGAGAAGTGATATATACTGGCAGAATGCTGAATTTGCTGAGAAACCACTCTCAGAATCCAAATACAAGGTTCATTGAAAATCCTTTTCAAAAATGTGCCCTTGAGATGGAAGACAAAGCCAAGAACAATCTGGATACCATAAGAAAATTTTAATTACATTATAATTTATTTAAAAACACACACACACAAAAATAGATGCAAGCTCTTTCCCACAAAGGACTTTTATTAAAAAAGTTATGCTACTGTATCTTCTAAAAGCTTTTACCTGAACCTTCATATTTTATTTGGTTCTACTTAAAAGCATTGTGGTTTAGATCTTGGATAGGAGATAGGTATTTACTGGTTAATGATTCATCTACTGATGGCGACCCTCAAAAATGAGACAGTGAATACTTTATCAAAAAGTGTTCAGCAAC